GTGGGTTCAAGCTCCCCAGCAGCCCATGAACATTACCCAAAAAAGCCAACCATGTTCTCCTGTGGGAACAACAGGGCACCTCACCTTCTTGGTACCACAAAGCAAACTTGCCTCCCAATGCCGCTGGCCGTTCACTCTGTTCCCACGTGCAACCTCCGTGTGGTGTCCTCCTCCCCCGAGCCGTGAGTATATGTGACTAACAAACTGGGGCCAGTTTCACCCGTCCAGTGTCGTGTGTCATGTGTCTGGCCATCTCCATAACCCCAGGTTGGGAATCTCTCCCTCACCAATGGGGTAAAGAGGAGGTGATTAAAGCACCCCTAAGTCCAGGCTGACCAGCTGCCTCCAAAAATCAGAGGCGTGGCTTGGCTTCTGCACAGTCACCGTCCAAAGCCCTGCCTCTTAGAGCCCACAAGGAACTGAGACCACCAACCCCGTTTATTCAAATGGGCCACCAGGGTGCACAGAGTACGGTTTCACTTTCCACTACTTGTGTATTTCTCAATCCACATTCTAATCCTGGGCAGTCATCCCTGAGTGTCTCCTGACTCAACTTCTCTGCTCAATTCTGAACAGATCCAGACATCACTACCTTCTTTCGCTTTTACTGTGATATTTCCAGTTCCAGAACGGTTACGAATCACGTTTCCAAAATAAACGATCTATGGAGTGTATTTCGCATTTCAAACATCCTTAGTTCTTCTTAATGAATTATCAAGGTCACACGAGTCTGAGCCTTCAGGACTCAGAGGAAGAAGTAGCCAATGCTGACTGGCCATTTTCACAAAATAATCGCCTGGATAAAGGCCTTATGCAAGCCTGTTGAGAACAGTGAGTGACAAGTTATATTTCATTTCCCTAAGCAAACAATAACTTCCTCAAAGGCAAAAGGCTCTTCTTGGTTTTGTGTCCCTTACATGCCTTTTCCAGCACAGTGGTACAGTGGGGAAGAGACTGAAAACTGCCCGCCTGGGTTCAAACTGTGGCTAGCCCACTAATTAGCTGTGCGTGGCCTCAGACAGCTTATCCAATCCTAAGAAACCTCAGTTAGACATCTGTGTCCAAGGGTGGTTTCGAGTCTTAAATTTTCTAGGTGTAAATGTATATAAATCACTTACTTAGCTCACTGCCTGTTACAGAGTAAGCACTCAATAAATGTTAACTATTATTATTATTAAAGTGTTAACCCTATGTCGAACTGTGCTAGCTATTACTGTTATGTGGATAGCGCCCAAGCATCCCTCCTAAGCTCAAGGCTTATATATTTAACCGCCTCGCGATATTCTACTTAAATAACTTAGAGGCAAATCAAACAGGTACAAAGGAGAAATCACTCTCTCTGCTCCCCCCGCCCCACTCACAGGGGTTCCTTCAGAGTGTCCGGGCTCAGTTAGCAGCACCTGCCATCGGCTCAGTTTCTCAAGCCAGAAATTCCAGGAACGGTCTCCCTTCTCCTTCCCCATTCCATCCCATGTCATTAATTCATCTAGCAAACATTTACTGAGCATCCTGGCACAGTGAAGTTGCTAGGGATAAGCAGGTGGACAAGACAGGTCGTTAGGTGTAGTGGGAAAGACGGGCATGCAACAACAGAAGAGAAGAGCTTGGGATAAAGGATGTAACCTAAACAAGCAGCACGCTGGGAAAGAAACGCTGGACTTACTTCCGATAGGGGTCAGGAATGGCCTCTCCAAGGAAGCGACATTTAAGCTAGATCCGAATGTCAAGCAGCAGCTGGCTGTGACGAGTTGGAGGAAGGGCCTTCCAGACACAGGGACAGCAAGTGCAGAGCACTGAAGTGGGAAAGAAATGCGTGTGTTCCAAGAACTGTCAGATGGCCGGTGTGACGGGGACATTTACAGCGCGGGCCCCGCCTTCTAAGTCCGTCCTGGGACGGACACAGGCTTACTTGTTTTCTTACTGCTTCGCAGACTGCGTGGTCCCATCTCAGTGAAACAACGACAAAATCCACACAGGTAAGAATAACGAAGCTGAGCTGTGAGCTGGCCCTCGCCAGTGACTGCAAACATTGAGTGGCATGGGACCAGGCCTTCCCAACAGGACCAGTAGCACGAGCCAGGTCCTGACACAAATGAGTATGGTGTGTGCTGAGATTATAAATAGGCTTGGCTGCCTCCCCAGACTGGGAAGAAGGTGGATGAAGGTTGAAGAGAGACCGAAAAAAAGGCTGAAATGTTTGGACCAGTTGCGAAGTCGAGAGGTAGCCATTCTTGGACTGACAGGGGACACGAGGAAAGCGGTGGCTTACACACAGCCTCAGACAGTCACGGGATGCTGGGCAGATGAAGAAACCCGTCCTGGGAAGGGAGATTACGTGGAAGTGGGCTCGGGTCACATGAGAGTGACTCAATAAGCATCTGGTCTACTGATTGGGTGGTGGCGATAGAAAGAAAAAGAAGAATCTGAGAATTTAAAAAAATTCCTTTAAGTGCAACAACGAGGACTGGGTAAGTAAATTGTGGCACACTCAAGTAATAGAATAACATGCAGCTGTTTAAAATAATGTCCCAAAAGGACGGCAAACGATGCTGAAAAATGTTCCAGGCAGAACGCAATCTGCACGACGCTTCTTCCTTAAGGAGAATGTGAGCCTTTAATTAGAGATCTTTTCTTTCTTCCTGCAAAGATAGTATTTATTAAAAACCTTTAACCCTGAATTTAAGGAGACAAAGAAGAACAGCTTCATTCCTCATTGGAATGTCATGGATAATGACAAATATAATCATTCAGAAATACCAGAAAAAGTCAATGGCGTTTCCTAAAATCTAGAAATCAAGCTTAAAAACAGTCTTCTGGGTTTTCCTCTTCATGATTTGTTTTGGGTACGTCAATTTAAAGAGTTGGCAAATGACTGGCTTTATATCTCTTGTTTGGGGCTGAATTCCCCCCACCACACCCCCAAATGCATATGTTGAAGTCTAAGTCCCATTACCACAGAATATGACTGTATTTGGAGATGTAGACTTTAATGAGGTAATTAACATGAGACCATACAGGGCAGGCCCTAATCCAATCCGACTCTTATCCTTACAAGAAGGAGAGATTAGGACACAGGTACAGAAAGTCCAGGAAGAAGATGGCTGTCTACAAGACAAGGAGAGACGCCCTAGAAGAAACCCACCCTGCCGACACCTTGATGTTGGACAGGAAGCCTCCAGAACCAGGAGAAAATGAATTTCTGTTATTTAAGCCAGCCCATCTGTGGTGCTTTGTTATGGCAGCCCAAACAAATACCACCTCTCTCCTACTTGTGACAAATATATTTTTAATACGAGATCTAACGTTTGAGATTAACAGTTCCTCAAATTCTTAAACAGAGATTTTTTTATATGATCCAGCTATGCCACTGCTAGGTCTATACCCAAAAGAACTGAAAGCAAGGACTCAGATAGATACCTGTACACAAATGTTCATAGCAGCATTATTGACAACAGCCAGAAGATGGAAATAACCCAAGTGTCCGTCAGCAGATAAATGGATAAACAAAATGTGGTCTAGTCATACGATGGAATATAATTTGGCTATAAAAAGGCATGAAGCACTGATAGATGCTACAACGTGAATGAACCTTGAAAACAAGAAGCCAGACACAAAAGGCCACATACCGTATGATTCCATTTATATGAAATGTCCAGAACGGGCAAACCCACAGCGATAAACAGATCGATGGTCGCCAGGGGCTGAGGGAGAAGGGCGAGGGGTGAGGTGTTAGTGTTTAATGGCTGCAGAGCTTCTCTTTGGGATGGTAAAAGAAGTTCTGCAGCTGGATGGCGGGGACGGTGACACGAGCCCGTGAACATGCTTAATGCCACTGAACAGTACGCTTAAAAATAGTTAGGATCAGAAATTTGTTACGTATATTTACCACAATTTTTTAAATTGCGAAAAATAAAAATTAATGCTTAGGCAACTGTGGGATTTTTATATTTTGCGGAAATTTCTAAATGTTATTTTAAAACATCTACTTTTTTGTAGCATGTAGACGTTCTTTTGGTCTGAGTCTTAGCTGGAGGCGTGGGTCAGCTCTATTCACATTGCTTCATGTCCTCCAGATGCGTACAAATGGTTCTCGTAAGAAAACATTCCAGGGCCAGCAAGCTAGAACATTTGCAAGGATTTGCATGGAAGGAGGAATGAGCCCGTGGTTGGTGAATATCGATCTTACCTTTGGCTTTCTTAGGGTGGAATTTGAGGCCCTGACCTTGCCTGAGGCACTGACTTTGCCATCCGTCTTCAGGAAAGAAATTTCTACTTTCATGGTGGAACAAATCTGCCTTCGACTTCAGATAAAGCACGAAAGGACAAAGTTCACAAGGGCACTTGCTGATCCCTCTGTCCAGCCAGTCACACAGGTCACACAGGTGGGCGCTGAATGAGCGCCGCGCCCAGTCACAAGGTGAGGTCTGCCTGCTGCGGTGCCTGGAATCAGCTTTGGCTCACTCAGGGGACATCCACATTTGCTCCCCTGTCAATCCAAGGAAGGTCACGAGGGAAAACCGTACGCAGTCAGACTGTGCCAATGGGTAATTAAGGGTGTCTTTGCAAGGTGGAGGCTTTTTTTTTTAATGTGGCACAGAGGCCTCGTCGAAAAGGGCTGGGACGGGTTGTCCTGGAAATGAAGGTGGCTCCCAAGAGAATGTAGGGAGGGCTGAAGCTGCTGTCTCACGGAGACAGATCCGAATGTCGACGAGAAGCAGAGAGGGGTCAGAAGAGAATGAGCAGAGTATTTCAGGAGAGGAAGGAATCCCTGTGGGAAGCTCACTTTAAATAAATCCAACCTATAAAAATCCGAATTTATAAAATAATAGGATGGGTGAGGGCGATTTTTGCTTTACGACAGGGTTCATGACAAGATAAGATTCCTTTCACTATATAAAGATGAAGTCCTTATCTGTCAAAGAGATGGGGGCATGTTCAGAGCCTGGGCTTCGCCTGACGAGCCTGAGACCTCTCTAGACCTCATCTTAGTTCCCTTATTTGCAAAGGAAGAGGACGAGGCTAAATATAATCTCTAAGGTACTTTTAAATTCAAAATGCTCCCTCCATTGTATAAAAGATCAATTTGTACTTGATATTAAGCTTATGTAAAGTGCTTAGCACATCACCTGGTGAGTGGGAAATGAATGTACTGTGTTAGTTAAAAATCAAAAGTCCGTACCATGGTCCCTGAGGCCCTACTCGATCGGCCCGACTGCCTCTCAGGACCTTAGCTGACCTCAGTCTCCTCCCTGTCCACTATGCTCCATGCATACTGACTCCTATCTGTTCCTGGAAAACGCCGAGCTCATTCCTACCTCAGGGCCTTTGCACTTGCTATTCTCATTTCTTGGGATCCTTTCCCCCTGGATTTTCAGAGAGATGGCGCCTTTCTGACATTCAGATCTCAGCACAAATATATTTCCTTAGAGAGGGCCTCTCCTGGGCTAAAAGATATGTAGGCAATTCAACACCCAAGCAAGTATGCTCTTTCTTTTAGGGTACACAGGGAACATTTCCAAAAACAGACTTGTACCAGACCGGGTATTTCCTGCAATACATTCCCAGTGATCAATAGGACACAGACCAGGTTCTCCAACCGCATTTTAATAAAATTAGAAATTAATTTTAAAGAGATAAAATTGTAAAATATTTGAAAGCCAAATAAAATATTGCTAAGTGACTCCTGGAAATATTCAGAACTGAAGAGAGAAAACACTGAAACATTTTGTCCCACAAAATTGGTGGGACACAGTGAAATCACTACTTGGAAGGGAAATTTATAGCTTTATAGACATTTATCAGGAAACGAGAAAGGTTAAAAAAGGTTAAAAAAGACATGAGCTAAGCATTCAACTCAAAACACTAGAAAAGAGGAATAGAACCAAATGAAAGAAACACGAAGGAAATTAATACTATTGGGGCAGAAATCAATGAAATACAGAACAACTGAAACAACTCACAAAACTAAAAGGTGGTTCTATGAAAGATTAATAAGATAGGAGTCTTGCCAGAGGTGAGTCTAAGAAAAAGGGAAAAACGTAAATAAACTGCAGAAAAATATATAACTACGGTCATGACATTTTTTTTTTATTAAATATTGACTATTACAATCATTTGCTAATAAATTTCCATGGTTTTCCTTGACTGCCTCTACTTATTATCTTTATTGTCTATTGTCTGTCTCTTGGAGGCAGATAAACACCAAGGACTAAATAACTGTTTGATGAATGCACGAACGAATGTCCTTAATAAGCTAGCGTGATGAGTTTGGATAAATTCTTCCCAATGCAGATGTGCTGGTTTGTCTTCGGCAGATTTGCCCAGGTACAAGGACAACTGCAAAGGAATCTTGCAGTAAAGGCCTGTGGTATCTCATCATACCAATGGCACAGCGTCACCACATCTTGGTTATTTCTGGAGCCACTCAAAGAAACTAAGAATTTCTCGCTCGGCGGGTATGCACACATCCCGGTAGGTCTTATCAGCTCAAATTGGGGTGTTGGCTGGGCTATAGTCCTCTGCAGGCTCTGGGAGGGACTCCATTTCTTGCCATTCCAGCCTCATTCCTTGGGTCATGGCCTCCACTAGTATTCTCCTCTGTGACCTGTGCTTCTGTCGCCACACGGCCTTCAGGGACTGATTGTTCGGCCCGTCCCTTCCATGTCTTAAGGACACTTGTGATTAAAATAGATCCACCTGAATAACCCAGGACAACCTCTCTATCTCAAGATCCTTAACTTAATCACACTTGCAAAGGCTCGTCTGCCATGTAAGGTGACATGTCCACGGGGTCCAGAGATTACAACATGGCTATCCTGTGCGGGGCGGTGGTTATTATTCTACCACAGTAATTAAGACGCTGCCTTAGAAAGTTACCAGATTTGACACTAACAGGACTTTATCTTTGGGTCTTATTTTCCCAAGTCTGTTGAGTAATCCTTCCAAATACTTAGGTATCTAATAGCTTCTAAGTAAATTTGAAAAACATTTGATTGCACTGCGCCCTAATGTCAGGGAACATGATGAAATGTATGGGGGTTCCAATAACTATCATCTCCGCAAGCAAGATTTCTCCCATTTCAAGGTGACCCCACCATCCTCGTTATCTTTAACCTTGGTACACACCAAGCAACAGAACCAGGAAAATAGTCCTACATAATAGTATACATTTTGGAATAGACAGATGATTTCACAGCATTTTCAGACTTTAAGAGCAAAGATTCTGGAATCAGACAGACATAGACTCAGATCCCAACTCAACCACTGAAATGATTTCACTAAGTCTCAGTTCTGTTTCTCAGTGTCTCCCTCACGGTTCATGTGAGATTGAATGAAATAAAGCCTATAAAGCCTTTAGCACGGTCTCCCTGTTACTATTATCGTACAGGTGATGTCATATTTGATACACCACCACCGATCTTCATTTTATATATAAAGAAACAGGCTCCTGAAAAGCAAATAACTCACCTAAGGATGCACACCTAGTAAATAACCTCACATCTACCCACACACAGCCTGGCACACACAGTACTCACTCTTCAGCACTGTTGTTTTCAGTAAAATCAGACACAGTCCCCACACGACCTCACGACTGCTCCATCACCTCTCGTATTCATGGCTTCTTTTCCCGATCCATCTTCTAGTTTCTGTTGCCTATCAAAGGATGTGGTCTTCAAGGTCTTTTTACATCTCAGAGATCAAATGTCAAATATCCTGAGATTTCAAGACACAATTACAAAAATAGGTCCAGTTCATCTGCAAGAATATCCTACTTCCCGTTTTTTCCACTTGAATAATCTGTCATTTACAGTATGTACTGAATGGAAGAAAACATTTGCAGATCATATATCTGATCAAAAAACTATCTAGACTACATAAAGAACTCTTACGACTTAAAATAAGAAGACAACCCACCTTAAAAATGGGCAAAGAAGCTGAACATTTCTCCAAAGATACACAAACGGCCAATAAACATGTGAAAAACTCAACATTGCTATGAAAATGCAAACCAACATATATACATTTGAGTGCAGACAGATTCTATTCCATATTAATTTCTTTCAGGACTACTAATGGGATATTAGCAACTATTGCTTTTTAGAGGGACATTGGAGCTGATAGATTTGAGACCCACTGACCTAGCAAATGGCACAGAGGATTATCTGTGATCAGCATATAGCCTCTTAGATAAGAGTCAGGTTTTTTTTTTCCTATGTTCCACAAAAGCTTCAACCTCCATGGGAAAAGAAATAGCAAAATTATAAAATGATTTAAAATGCCTCACTTTTGTTCCTCATTTAAGAGATGTGCTATTTCTGGAGGTGTCTATAATTATACGTTTGGACCACAGGTATCTGTCACTATGATATAAAATGACCTATTTCACAATGTCTGTGTACCAGAAAAGTGAACCTTACATCTTTAAATGTCTGAGCATTTAAACAGTTTTTCATTACAGATAATCCTGAACAAAGGATACCGCTTCATCTGCCTGGGCTTTTGTGGCTCAAGGCCACTGTGACAAACATCATTGTTACCATGCTATAATCAAATGACACCCTGTGGCACACAAGATTAGCTACTGCTGGCCTCTCAATTAAGTCATCCCAGACTGAAGAGCTTTTTGGAGTTCTTGGCTTTTTATAGGGCCTTCTTTCTTTTTTTGGGGGCGGGGGGGCAATTACTGCTGCTCTTAATATTGGTGGCCTCAGGAGGTGCCTCCCACCTCTAATTTGCTGCACTCATACAAACATTTGTTTTACCACCCACGTTACCGGTGACAGTACATTTTTCATCTCTTGGAACCTAGCCCCATAACCAAAATATTTTCAGTTCCAAGTTTCAGAAGCCTATCCGCTTATGGAAAAATGAACATTTATTATAAGGTTATAGGGGTATCTTATAGGTGAAGGTGAACCAAAGGGGCAGATCCAGAAGCAGAAACTCAGCAAAAAACCGAGAGGCCATTTTCTTAGGCGCTCTCGCCTCTGCGTCCCTTTGCCCATCTGAGTCATTCTTTCGCTTCTGCAGATTCCATTTATTGGCTTCTCCATGAATGTGACTCTGCCACAACCCGAGGTTACTCGATTCGGTTCCCAGTCACTTGTAGAGAACAAAGGGCTGCCTCTCTCCCAGTGCAACAGTGCCAGAGGAGAGACTGACTGATCCTGTTGGGGTCAGGTTCCTGCTGTTGTTCAACCGATAAGGTCAAGGTCACATAGTATAAAAATGGCTGCTGGGGCCATCTCTGTGAGGAAGGGCAATTTTCAGAGGAAGAACTTTGCAGTGAACTGGCTTATCCTGCAACAAAGGATACCAGATAAGCCAGACGGTTAGAGTTTTATCTAAAATAAAAATAAACTCTGTGTGAGGGCCTGAGGCTTTCCCCTATGAAGAAAGAACATGAGGTTTGGCCCCATTATTTCGTGATATGTACCTTGTTTTTTTTCTGAGGACTTGGTTGTCTATTCCATTTCTTTTTTTGATATGTAATTCACGTACTATAATATCTGCCTTTTAAAATGTACAGTTCAGCGACTGTTAGTACATTTGCAAGGATTCTGCAACTAAATTTCCAGAACATTTCCATGACCCCAAACGGACACCTTATATTCATTAGCAATCACTCTCCATTCTTAACTCTTCCAGCCCCTGGAAACCACTAATCTGCTTTCTGTTTCTATGGATTTGCCTCCTCCTGACATTTCCTATAAACAGAATTATACGACATGTTACCTTTCATGTCTGGTTTCTTTCACTCAGCATGTTTTCAAGATTCATTCGCATTGTAGCATTTATCAACGTTTCATCCCTTTTTTATGGGTAAATAATATACTATCACATGCATATACCATATTTGATTTATCCATTCACCAGTTGGCGGATATTTAGGTTATTTCCACTTTTTAGCTATTAGGAATAATGCTGCTATGAATATTCATGTACAAGTTTTTGCATGAACATATCTTTTGCATTCTCTTGGGTACATACCTGGGAGTGGAATTGCTAGGTCACATGGTAATTCTGTTTAACACTTTGAAGAATTGCCAAACCGTTTTCCAAAGTGGCTGCACCATTCGACTTTCCCACCAGCAGTGTGTGAGGCTTCCATTTTCTCCACAGCCTTGCCATCTTTTTGATTGTCCATCTGGATTATAGCCATGATAGTGGGATGAAGCGTCTCATTGTGATTTTGATTTGCATTTCCCTAGTGACGAATGATACTGAACATGTTTTCATGTCCTAATTAACCATTTGTATAACTTCTTTGTAGAAATGTCTATCCAAATCTTTTGCCCATTTTTAATTGAGTTGTCATTTTATCGATGAGTCATAAGAGTTTAGATATTTAAGATACCAAACCTTTATGAGATATGCGAGTTACGAATATTTTTCCCATTCCGTGGATTGTCTTTTTGCTTCCTTGATGGTGTCCTTTGAACTGCAAAAGTTTTAAATTTTGATGAAGTCAAATTTATCTATTTTTTCTTTTGTCGCCTGTGCTTTAGGTGTCAAATCTAAAAAACCACTGCCTAATCCAAGGTGACAAAGATTTATACCTACGTTTTCACCTGAGTCTTATAGTTTTAGCTCTTACATTTAGGTCTTTGATTTACTTTGAGTTAATTTTTATATATGGTGTGAGGTAGGGGGTCCAACTTCATCTCTTTATAATGTGGACAGTCAGTTGCTCCAGCATCAGTTGTTGAAAAGACTATTCTTTCCTTAAATTGTCTTGGTACGGTAATTTATTTTTTAAACTAAATCTTATAGCCCCAACTGTAATCATCAGTTATTTTCACTTTACATAAACAAATTATTCTGGTCAGTACATTGGATATATTCACTATCTTCACTATGGTGATATGGTTTCATGGGTGCGTATATATGTCAAAGTTATGAAACTGTACACTTTAAATATATGCAGTTTATTATGTCAATTATACCTCAAGAAATCTGTTTTTCAAAAGAGATAACCTAAGGGCAAGAGAGTAAATGCAATAGCTTCTTTTCCTAATCAATTTTCGGGATCAGCTTCTCTGGCTGGGCTTGAGGATATATCACTGACTAGTAATTTAGGAAAACTTGTCTTTTTACATTCCTCTGAACCGACTTTGTTTCAAAACACAAGCAAACCATTTAAATTCAATATTTGTGAGGACGGGACCAACTCATCACTATGGAATAAGAACGAGAGCTGGAAATGTGTTTTGACTCTTAAGGAAAAGCATTTTTAAATCCCCTTCCAGTGAGAAGTTAGAGACTGAGTTTTCCTTTTCTACATAAAATGTAAGCAACTACATGAAGCTCCATTTTAGCAGAGACTTCATCTGTCTGTTCACCCTCCTATCCCTAACAAGAATACAGCCAAGCACAAAACAGGCGAATAAGTGAATAAAATCCCGCTTAACCTGGCACCATCTTTTCCTCGGACCATTTTGGACTGAGGCAGGTGGCAGCTCTGTTCCTCCCTCTAATTCAACATTATTCCATCTCTAGAGTCAGATGCTGTGTGTTTTCTGCAAATTTCTTATTATTTAACTTTTATATTTGGAAAAACAGGGTAGTGTGACTTAGGAATCTAGGATCCAAGAAATGAATTAAAATATTGTGTCAAATATTATGCGTAGGATCCACAAACTAAAAGCAATCAGATGAAAGTGGTTAAGGAGATCATAGCATACCCTCTGGGAAAGACATTCCACGGATTTAAAATAATTATGAGTCTGCAGTAACATGCAGAACAAGTAGCGTGAATCAGGAAATGAAAAAGCACCATCACTATGATTACAAACTAAAATTTTATACACGATTAATTACCTGCTTGAATTTATATTCCACAAGGGTAAGATGTTTTGACTTGTTCTGATTACTGGACAGTGCCTGGCATGTGGAAGTTGATTATTAATAAATGCTGAATGAATGAATGAAACTAAATATAAAACATACCTATGGAAACATACCTGAAGGGAATGAACAAACGGTGGGAAAAAGTATGTTCAAGGAGTGGCAGTGGGGTTGTTTCCTCCATTCCCCCTCTAGTTGCCAATTTTCCCTAAAGTTGGATAAAACTCTCTCAGTTGAAGGGATGGCCACGGAGACCCCTCACTTGCCTCTGGCTGCTCCGTCCCCCGCCCTGCAACTAAGGAAGCATCTGAACTGCAGTAGAACGTGGCCTCGCTTCAACTCCAAGAGGTACGTTTTATAGGGTTTTATAGGGTGTGCGGGCTCCAGCCAGGGGCTCCTGGGGCACCTGGGGTGGAGGCTTCTCCCCTAGAGGCTGAGAGAGCAGTGCTGTCCCCCATGGCTGTCTCCTGCTTCCCAGTCTGAGAGCCTGAAACGTGGACGTCCAAAGGGATCGCTCTTTCTCCTAAAATGCCCTCGCGTCGCTCTCCCCAGGTCATTCCTAAATTCTTGAGTCCTGGGGAAGGAGCAACCCTCCCGAGGACTCGACTTAGGCCCTTAAGGGAGAAACTTATTCCCCAGGGCGAAGTCACTCTCTCTTCAAGGGCTCCACCTCCTCAGAGAGGGTTATTCATTCTCCCCAGCCACCCCGAGGGGGTCCCTCGTACTCTCTCCCCCCACCCCCGACCCTCCGCCCCGGCCCGGCCCCTCTGAGGGGGGGCGGGTCACTCGTCCTCCCTGGTCACTCCTTCCTGGTAGAGCCCGCCCCCCACTACCGGGTTCGCTTGTTCTCACCCGCCGTCTCGAGGGGGTCATTACTCCCTCGCCCGACTCCTGAGGAGGGGTCATTTGTCCCCAAGGGGAAGGTTGCCCCTCCCCCACGGGCCCCATCCCGCTGAGAGGTCCCCCCCGGGCGCCCCGTCTCCCCGCCGTCTGGGGGCGTCGCTCGTACCCGAGGGGACGGTCACGCCTTCCGCGGGCCCGCACC